CCCATGCCTGCACCTTGTCTGTCATCATAGGACATGTGCACAGCTTGTTTGCATTGGGAACTACAAGAAATTGATGCTGATCTGTTTGTAATTGCTCACCTCTGCAACATTTACTTCACCAATGAAATTAACATTTAATTAACACAGATGAAATCTGAAAGGTAAGAACTGAAGTAATAAGCAAGTTTTTAAAGTGGAACTTCACAGGGTTCCTGGTAACTTTTTCAGAGTTCCAGTTTGCAACCTATTATTTGATCCTGCAGTTTGTTCTATTAGAATCAGTTGCCATGGAAATGATTGAAATGTCACAAGTTAAGCATTGCAACTCCTATTTCCTAAACAAATAAGCAGCTTTTCCATGTGGAAAGGGACCTTAAATGGTACTTATGCAGTTCTCAAACCTGCTCTGCATTTGCCAACTGCTTTTGAGCAGCGTATTCAGCTTTTTAGCAACTGGGTCACCAAACAGGAAGGACAAGCTAGGAAGTGCAGCCTTATTTACAAACAGAGAAAATTGACTTCTTGCAGTTGTAGACATTGCAGTCCTATCAATTCTATCATATTTGAGATAGGATTCTGTAGCCCTCAGTTACAGTGAGTTTTCTCTTACAAAGTGAGTACTCCCTCTGAAAATGTTTACCAGGGGCCATGTTTCCATGAGCAGAAGGCATGAAAGTAATGCTGGAGTAGGTTCAACCATAGGATCAGCTCTCCTGTTTATAGTGGATTAGGGTATTTATCCAGTCCTCTAAAAGAGGCTGTTGTCACTATACATATTTACTTAGCACAATCCTTGAACTCATAGAACCACAAGGACCACCACTTGCCTAATACCTGCTCATAGAGAAACGACATCTTACTTCCCATGCACTTGGAAAGCAAGACATCAGAAGGTGGGCCATCCTGATCCTGCAGCAGGTCAGGATACAGCTCATTGTCCCAGAGTTTATGCTTTACCCAGAACAAAAAGGAAATATTAGAAAGCTTAACTCTGTTTCATGCTCTATTTAACACCATATATCATTCATATGCCTATATGTCTCAGTTTACAAGGGTAGCAAGGAACCCAATAGTGGTCTCCTGCTTTACAAAAGGCAGCTTCTGTGTTCCCATCAGAAAGGAACAAGAGAGGGGCTAGACCAGGGGTGGGCAAAATGTGGCCTGTGGGCAGGATGCTGCCTGCCAGGCCATTCTATCCGACCTGTGGGGCCCCTAAAAAATTTAGAAAATTAATATTTATCTGCCTCTGGCTGTCTGTCATGAGGCTCTCAATGGCTTGCTAAAACTCAGTAAGCGGTCCTCTGCCTGAAATAATTGCCCATCTCTGGGCTAGACTAAATGACTATTTTACTTCCTCTTCTTTTTCTAGTCAGTGGCTGTTAAACTTTCTCACAATTTGACATGTTTACAAAGAGTCAACACTCCCATTCTTTGAGAGATGCGTGGTTCTAGTGTTTCTTTATTTTAAGCCACCTACATAGGTTAAAGGATGCTGGCTATACCTGCCTTTTCAAGGTCAGCTGGAATTCACCCAAACTGTTGTTTAAAATTCAGTTAAATGCACACAAATTCAAGGCCCAGCAGTTTCCATAAGAGGCTAGATTCTGACCACTGCTCCATTCAGGTACATTGCTAAATCGTCAATAAATACAGCCTAGTAACAAGTATTTCCTTTTGTGGTGAGTTTGAAAGACAAGACAGAACATAGAAAAATTAGGTCCTGACTTCCCGGTCTCCAGCTATACCAGCTTTGGCCCAGCTTTTACAAGCTAACAGGGTCAGACTTTGTCATTGGTTTTATCAAATGCTGTCCTATTTTCAGTGGAAATGCAGGAGTAGTCATACTCTCCAGTCAAAGAGTGCGATAGGGAACGCCAGTCCTCCAGGATCCCACAGTGCTTTGCATGCACATGAACACACACACACTCGCCAGTCCTTCAGGAACCCACAGTGCTACACACACACACACACACACACACTCCCCGCTGCTCTCCCAACTCCCACACCCTCCCCCCTCTTCTCTCTAGTGCACTGAACTGAGACAGGAACACAAAAACAGCTGAGTATTTCTGAGAGTGGGGAGTGTAGTGTCCTATTTTATGACTTGGGAAGAAATATGGTCACTCTATGCCTCAGGTAATTGTACCATGCATTGGCATATGTCTCCAGATCATTGATGAACTACTACCTGAGTGTTGCGGGCACTGTGATGTTAGGTTAATTACCCTCTGAACTGATGATATCATTCTTTTTTAAAAAGGTCTTTTCCCTCAATTACCTATGGCATTTTTCACAAGTGAGCTAGCTTTAGTATCTTGGCCAGATTATTCCTGCCTCCATAGTATTTACCTGTGCAGATTCAATTATATACTGCTATATGCACTCTATGTCCACTGCAGGGCTGGACATGGGCCTGGAAAATATCTAACCCATAGCTAGTGGTCAGACCACTTCACTGGAAAATAGGCCAAATGAATCTCTTCTAGGGGCCTAGAACTTGGGACCCCTGCACCCTGAAAAGTGCCCTAACCACTAGACTACTGGACTGTATACAGCATGTGAGAACTCTTCATTCCTCCTCCTCTCCGGTAGCTATGCACACACGTTGATTTTGTGTTGCCACAGAGTGAAATAGAATCTGAAATGGTGTAAGTCCCAAAAACTGCAGTTTCATGGCCCTGAATATGCTATTTAGGCACATAAAGTAAAATAGGATTGAGCCGTATGTCTCTACATTTTCTATCCTGTAGCTACTTTAAAATGTTTTTAATAAGCAGTTGTTTAAACTGCAAGGCCCTTAGACAAGAGACTATCTTCCAGCATCTGGTACTGCACCCAAATACACCGTTGGTTCTTAACCAGTAACTATCTGCAGGCATAAAATGATTTTTTTACTAGAGCTCCATACTGTGCATATTTAATTCCTCTTGTCTATTATGTATGATACCTTTATGTACATCGTTTGGAGCTTATCAGAGCACATCTTTTCTATCAGATAAAGCACTGGACTAAAGACTTCAGGGAGAAAACAACATACAACAATACCCACTTAAGTTTATGTACTGGCAATAAAACTGATGGTTTTGTAACTTCCAATCATAAGCAATTTTTCAAATGAGACTCTGGTTGCAAAGTAACTGGATCCATTCCTGGTTTTGTAAGTGATTTGTACACTGCTGATTAGCTGAGATTCAAATATTGCTTAATGAATAACATACAATCTTGCCTAATCCTTGAAATGAAACCTTTGGTAATGCCAGATGAAGACAGTGACCTGATGGAAGGCATCCTTCACCTTTCTGATAAGGTGGTGGAAGTACTTAGCTCATAGAAGTTAACCAAAGGTTAACCAATATGCAGCAGGTAATATTTTTGAGGTTGTGCGTTAGGTAAATCCAGTATTTCCTCTAATCCATATGCACCAACTTGTGCAGTATCTTAATCCAGGAACAAGTTTTGGATTTCAAACTGTAGAAAATGTAATCGTCATTCCTTTGTTGATTTGCTTGGATTACCAAAGCAATTCTCTGTCCTGCTATTGATCACAACCCCTTTTGATTACCAAGTGTTTTGTATAGGAAACTATGGGAGAACTGAGATCAAGCTAAATTTGGGAAATGTGCAATTTTCCATTTCCCACACAAAATCAGGGCAGTCATTTCTCTCTCTCTCTCCCTCCCCCAAGCCCAGTTTTTTGCCTCTCCTTTCAGTATCTGTGTATCAACTGTTAGCTGAAAATGCTCTATATAATCCAACAGAAGGCAATGAAACATTAAAAGCTAAATTCTACTTAGTGTATTCCCAAAAATATTAGTAGGTTGTAAGTCAGTGGAAACTCTGACATAAACACATCAATCATGCTGCTGGGGTTGTGGAATCTCTATCCTTGGAGGTTTTTAAGACCCGGCTTGATAAAGCTTTGGCTCAGATGATCTAGTTGGGGCTGGTGCTGCTCTGAGCAGGGCGTCGGACTAGATGACTTCCTGAGGTCCCTTCCAACCCTAACTTCTATGATTCTATAAATAGGCCATACAAGCTATACAGGCTAAAGCAGTATGCTTATTTTGTAACTATAGTTCTAGTCAGTTCACTTATATGTAAAACAGGGTGAATGCCTCATTTTTTCTAATGAATATTCACTCAGATATAAATTGAATTGCTTTGCCTTTTTTCATACCCTTTGGGCCCTGATTCTGTTGCTTTATGAATGCTGTAAAGCACGGAACTGCAGCCTTGGCCTGCAGCCTTCTGACCCTGCAGTAATGTGACAATACTGGAATCTCAGCTTTAATTAAAAATGAAATCTCTAGCCCTTGTCATTGTGAAGAAAAAAATTTAAATATGACCCTAGTATAACTATTACAGCTGCATCTGCCTGAGTCTGCAGATGTCATGAAACAGTATTTCTCAGAGGTATAAACTTCACTATGCATTTCACTGGAGAGTGCCAAGACCCAATGCACTAGGAGGTGAGTTTGTGTGCGAAGACTCACAGTAACTACAGAAATACGTGTTGGTTATCCCTTTTGCTGCCATACTTGATTATCAGGGGGAGGAAACCCCCAGGTATCACTTGTAAAAGCATAAGGCTTTTACATCCTCCTCCTGGGAAAAGCAAACAGCCACCGCCACTGACTGCACCATGCAAGGACTGTGAAAAGACGCTGGCATTATAAGCACAAGAGCTAAGCCACGGTGGGAACCACATCATGATCTATTTAGGGCCATGGACAACCTTAATTTAACCTTGGTTGATCCTCCTCATACAAACAGAGAGGTGGGAAGGTGCCATAACTACATCATGCTGCCTTCAAGATTTTTTCAGCAATGAATAAGGATCTTTGTAACAAAGCCTAAAGTGGAAGCTGTCCTGAGGCTGTTCTAACACACACAAGTGACTGAGTTATACACAAGGCTTAGAGACAAGACTTGCTGAACAGTGATCAGGAATCTGAGTTTCTTATTCAATAAAAATTCCTTTCAGTAGAATGGTTACCTACTTCACTGAAAGGAGACAGGCAAGTAGACACAGAAGTGGAGGGTGGCTTGGGTTTCTGACTCTCAATGATGTGCTGTTTTGACTCTGGGCAATCACTGAATCTTTTTTGTGACTCAGTTTTTCCCATCTGTAAAATGAAAACAAAAATTAAATATTACTCTGAGGTCCCTTATTGAAAAGCAGTATATAAGGGATAAATACAACTATTACATTAGAAAATATTCAACATACCTCTTCCCTCCAAAAATATCTATAAGCAGTTGTTTATACTCGTACAGAATTCCCATTTACTAATAGGAGCTGCACGTGTATATCAAAGGTAGCATTTGACTTTACAGTTTTAGGTGATGCTTTTTGCTTCCAGCTAGTTCAAATAATATTAAAACAGATTAGAAGCTGGTGCCACACTCTTCTACTGGGTTCTTACATCACTTGATACAAATGTGCAAAAACGATAAAGAGATGATGATTCAGTAAACCATTTTCTGCAATAATAAAGATTAAGTCTGAGAGAAGGTTTTTAAAAAACCTCCAATAAATACAATAATAATAATAATTCAAAAACATACCAGATCCTGGATTAACAGAGAAGTCCATTCAGTCTAGAGTGAGGAATCTATAATCAAACTGGACACTTATAGGAAAGCCCAGTGAAGTTGTAAAGTCCTAGGATGTGATAGCTGTAAGCTAGAAACAACTTAATTTACAGGAAATCAGGAGCAGGTGCTCTGGTCTTTGATGCTCTTTGAAGTAACTATGCCTTCCACCCACACAATAGGGATACCAACCTACTGGCGCAAGCAGGTAGAGAGAGAGGTTGCACTTACATACGAGTACAGTTGAGAGCCACCCCTTGGCAAGTTCTTCACTCCTTGGTTATTTTTTCAGGGTTTTTTTTTTTAATCTCAACCCTGAAGAATCCGCTCTTTCATCTCTATTTCTCTGTCAATAACAGGTCTGATAGGAATATATTGGCATGACCGGAGAATCTTCTTTCAATATGCCTGCCAACAAAAAAATGCCAGCCTTTCTTCTGTGGAAGATTTTGAAACACCCCAGGCAATTGCCAGCATTTTACTTGGTAAAAACATTTAAAAGTTTGACCCCTTCAAATTAGATCATTTTTACAAAAATGTGTCCCATTTCCAAGCAGTTTTAAACCATTTCAAGAGACTTTACAAAAAATCTTTTTTGTATTGTAAATGACCCCAGTCCCAGGTGTTGTTATGAATGTTGTAATAGGTCAGTTCTTAATCTAGTGTGTTCTATGTTCAGAAGCAGGCACCACGGAAGAGGAGATCTGACTGGATTAAGCATTTGCTGGGTTCTCGAAAGCCACAGATTCCAAGGAAACAACAGAATTATTTTACTAAGGCACTCCAAAACAAAAGGTGCAAATACCCTTTATCATACACTTGCTTCAGTGGTTTCTTTAAGGAGAAACCAGTCTGAAACACAACACGTTGTGACAGTCCAGCATAGGCATGTAAAGGCAGCTCAGTCTTAACATAACTCATACACACAAGATGTTCACTGCAAAGCTGTCTAATTATCTATGCAGTAAAGTCTCAATGTCTACACGCATGGCCCTATTAGGCTGCAGGAAATTAATTAACTCGGCTGCAGGTTAGTACTTGTAAATACAAGTACTGTCTTATGGCACAGTTCATTAGCATGCAGCAACACATGTGTAGATGCTAATGGGGCTGGCTAGGACACAGGTGTGTTTCAGTGTGAGGGCTGCCTGCCAGCTAGCCCCACACTGGAATACCCTCATGGCCCAGACAGCCCCTCTGCAGGATGTTGGGCCAGGTCAGAGCATCCTCAGGCCGGCATGCTGACCCCCCAGGCACCCTGCCAGCTGAGGCTTCTCTGACTCAGCTTGATGTGCTGTGGTCCCAGGTGCACATTCAAATGCAGCACCCTGGAGCAATAAACTCCAATGCAATATGCACCGGAGTTTATTGCTCTGTGCTAATTGCACATATAGATGCACCTACAGTGTCTGTCAATTTTCTGTGCACTACCCTATATTTGCTGCTCAGACTACTACAGGCCTTATGCTTGCAACAGCAATCCTTGCACCTCAGACTTTGTTGCATCTCCCAGGTTGTCTAGCCTTCCCCCCCATAGCTGTCTGACAAGGTACTGCTTCTGATCTGTTCCTTCTGCTCTCTCCCAGGTTCTGACTGCCCTAGTTTTGTCTCCATTGTCCTCAGATTGTATTGTTCATGCACTGGAAAAAGTATGGGCACTCCACTACCTGGCTTCTGAACTGGTTGGTGAGGAAGTAACAAGCATCCTATATGACACTCCACCCAGTGGTGGGCGAGTTTCAGCTGCAATGAGTTTTCTCTTCTGCCAGAAGAGATGGGAAGCTATTCAGCTAATGCTTCTTCTTTAACCACATACCTAAATTTCAGACATGTGAGTAAATCCTCTCAAATGCCAGTTTTAAAGTTTTAACTGTTGCCTATTTCTGTAATTACCCTGTGTTATATTATACCTCATCAGTAGATGTTAAAATACTTTCTCCCTATGATACAGATGGAGAAACCAAAGCACAGAGAAATGAAATGACTTCCTCAAGGTTACCTGGAAAATTAATGTCAGAGCAGTTAAACCCAGGCCTCTGGAATCCCACTTCGGTGCTCAATATACAAGGTCATACTGCTTCCCCTTTAAATGTATTTAGTGCCTCATGCTCTCTGGCCACTGCTTGTTTTGTAATGAAATATTTATGAAAAAAAATGGTTTCATTTTTTTCATTTTAATCTTCTCCCTGATTTTTAATTTTTTTAAAGACAAAATCACACTCCCATCTCTGCTCATTCTTAACATTTTTCCTTTTTAAACTTTCTTGTATTTTTATTTTTTAAAGAGAAAGTATTTGTTCATATTTTTTTAAAACTATTTTTCCCTGACTCCCATCCCCCAATTCATTTTGTACTTTCCAGGGGTCTGAACTAGTGCTCTCAGGCCCCAGGGAAATCTCTTCTATTGAGGTACTCTTACTCTCCAGATATGCCTAGGAGTTGGAAGAACTCACAAAACAGGCATGTTTTCACAAGTGGAACCAGCATTACACGCTGAATTATGCAACCTGAGTTATGCAACCCAGATTCACCTGCCAAGCCTTCTACTTTACTGACATAAATTTTATTTAGGACAACATATAGTGCATAAATGCAGTGAGGTATAATGCTGGAATTTCCTTATTACCTAGATCACTGTCAAGTTTATACCTCAAGAGTGAAGTCCTGACCTCACTGAAGTCAATGGTAATATTTTCATTGATTTCCCCTGGGCTGTGACACTTCACCTAATCCAAAAGACAAGGTGGTCACAGCTGAACCAGGCTGGAAAGAACTTATGAAATGAACTGTGACTCGGGTAGTATATACTCTTGGCCTATTCCCTCATGTAAGGGAAAGACTTATACCACATTCAACATCTTTTCCAAGTACAGCAAGTACAGCGCATAAGCCTTCTCTCTCATAACCCAGGGTCTCTTCTGAAGTGGTCTTCGTAATTCCTAGACATTTCAATTCTAAAGACTAACTTCCTAGATCATTTCCTGCTCCAGAGCTTTCAAAAAGAGGTTCCAAATTCAATACATATTCACATGAGTTCCTTTCCAAAAATAAGTTACTTATATGGCTCAATTGTTTCACTTGCCAGCTAGTTTCTTGGAAAGCAAATGTGCCCTCATTTGACTTTCTTGAGTGGATCAAAGAACACTATTTGACAATGTTTTATCAACAGTTTGCAGTTTTCTTTGTCTCCTGCTCAGAAGAGTATCATAGAGTTCCCATGCCTGCCACAGACCAGTGTGGAAGATTTCATTTTCCAAATTTTCTGTGGTTCCAGATGCTTCCAGGAACATTTTCAAATGCCACCACCCCCAATTTAGTCTCTCTTCTAGCTTCATCTACTCTGAAGGATTCAGTATCTCCTTTCTGGAAGAGATATAATTGACTTCTACTAAATAATAAAGCTGTGACACAGAAATGATAGTAAGAAACTGTTCTTTATTTCTTGGCTTATATACATGGGCCAAGGTTACATAAGTCTGGATTCATATAACAGGGAGTCAGCATCTTTCAAGTCCATTGACAACTGTTACACAAATCATATCAAAATTATCACAAAAACAAAAGTGAAAGTGCTAACCCACTAATTGATTTGCCTACTGGAATTCAAAATGTTTTTACAAAATTATAAATTTCAATTTTATAAGTTCAATAAATTGAACTTTTTGTGAAAAGTTTTAACAAAAATTGGTTGATTTGATTTGAATATCACTGTGTTAGGCATTCAGACATCAAACTTGACATGGACTTGAACTTCATTTTCAATGAAGACAAAAGAGTTTTTGTATAGTTTAGGAATTAGGTCAGTAGTCAGCTTGATTGGAGAGAGGATATAGTAGTTATGGTACCTGCATATGCATTCAGCCTGAACAGGCTCAGACTTCTAAAGTCATCTGCATCAGTGATGTCAAACTGCCTTGGTCCCCTAGGCTGGATCTGTCAGTTGTGGTAACAGGGCAAGTGGTACCAGGGAACCACAGGCTTAACACAGCTGTTTCTCATCCTCCACCATTGCTGCAGGTCCCAGTGGGGCTGTGTACAGTAGAATTCAGTGGTAGGCCTTGCTCCTGCACCTGCTCATCCCATCCCTAAAATCACAGACCCTTTAGGAGCCCTGTGGGCTATGTGATACAGCTCCATGGGCCAGAACTTTGACACCTCTGATCAGGATCATCATAGGAATGATCAAACTAAAATATTTCACTGGCACAGTGACTTCCTGGTAATGTTATGTCATTTTTCTTCAGGGTTATCCCAAACTATTAGCTGGATAGCTAAAAAGGTGGAGAGGTAAGAAAATTTTCAAAATTATCTTTAAGGGCTTGCCTGCAGTGGAACATTTGGTCATGTTAGAACACATTGAAGAAGTTTAATATTTCTGCTTTCATTTAACTATTGAGCAGTAATTTACAAGTAGCTGTTTGGTAGTTTCTGCCCCCTCTGGAGTGTAATGTGAATAATGGTGCCTTCTTTTAAAAAGCAGATGATTTCTAAAACATGCTTCCATTTCATTTCTGCACCTCTACCACTTTTCCTAGCTGTTACTCCACCCACCACATCAAAGTCTCTGCAGAAGTTGCTGCTAGCATCTTCATCTTTTTGCCTCTTGCCTAATTAGCATCCTTTGCGATATTCCTTATAGTTATGGAAAAACTTAGAAGTTTCAGCATAGACCCTTTATATTCTTTAAAAACAACAAAAGGTCTCAAAGAACTTTAGTGACATCCTTTATATAACAGCAATAAGCACTACTTACTGACCTTTTCTGTGGCTGGTGAGATCCATGGCTACTATTAGTTTCAGACCTTTAACTCAAGCAATTATTAACGAATGGGTAATAGACAGCAGAATTATTGTGTTGCCCTTTATTTATTTATTTTTACAAGAAAGATTTCAGTACTTAGATTTGTGTAGTTTTACTAAACTATTCTAACAATGATTCTCCACGTACACGTACTATTAAGTGGAAAGAACCTAAAACTCGCATGCTATTCATAGCAAATGGTTGAGGCACTTTAAAATAAACCAGTGCTATTCTGTTTGAGGAATTGACAGAGCTAGCCCTTTGGGATCATCAAATCTACTGTTTGTGGTGAGCTGCATGATCATGTGGATACCATAGGTCAAGATCCATAATAAAATTATTGATGTCACCAAGGCCATCCAAATTCCAGGGGAGAAGAATGATGTACAGTCACTTGCATAGGAAAACCGGTTGTTTTCAACACTGAAGCCTTGAATCTAAAAATAAGAAAATAATAGGCAAGCCTAAATGAATTTATATTACATATTCTTATTTGAAGATATACATGTTCATTAAAAAAAACGGTCATCCAACAAGTTACTGAGTGCCTTAACTGCATTTGATCACAGACTCTTCTTGCATAATGATTTTTCAATTCCTTTCACCTCCCAAGAGCTACAGGTACATGAGAGCTATTCATTTGAGAAGAGGAAAATTATGCTTCCAGTTTCTGAGATTTTAAAGGTAACATTTCAAAGAATACAAACAGATCTAGTTCTAAAGCTAGCTGTTATAGATTAATTGATTCAGAATGGTCAAGCCCAAACATTCAAAAATATAAGTCAGGGCGCCCAAAACTATGAGACTGGTTTAAACACCATAAGATGTAAATTTTAAAAATTGAGTCATTTTTGTTGCAAATTTGTCATCTAGTGTTTGTGTATGTAGGTACTTGTTTTCCAGCTTTTTCCTAGGAGGATTTAGAAGCTTGCCTTAAAATGAAACCTAATTCCAGAAACTGGATTTAAGGAAAATATTAAATATTACCAGACTTATGACACATGCATACACTGTATATTGCTGTGAACTACCCTCCCCACCACCAAGCAAAAAAACAAGATACTTTGTCCCTTATATAATTATCTCAACATATGCAATGCTGCCCATGCCTTTTGCGGCACTTGTGCCAGATTGGCCACCCTACAGTAGTTCATGGAAACAGTGAATAATAAAGACATAATCACTGCATCCCTTTTTGCTGTTTCTATCATGTGTTTATCCTTCAGAATTACAGACTAGGGACCAGAAAGCAGAGCAGCAGACCCGGCAGAGTAAAGGGATAAGAGTGACACTTCGGGAGGGTACAGGGTTAATTTGCAGCAGGGGGCCTGCCAAAAAAGTTGCCTTCCGCTGAACTATTGCATGATATCCTGGTAGCAACATGTTGTTCGTATTGACAGTGCTAAGTGAACAATGCTGGAGCCAACACTGTAAAAATAGGTTTTCACAGAGAAAAGAGTTTTTGAGTCCTAGCCAGTCAGAGAGGGCTTTTCCCCTTTTGTTTATTGTCCAGGTTGAAGTCCAAATTCACTTGAGATGGTAAGAGTAAAGAGTCCACCAGAGAAATTTGCTTTGTTTCATTCTCTCTAGGGCTGGATTATGCATTTTAATGAGGCTTGGCATAATTCATAAAAACAATTTCAGAGAAGGTAAAATATAGCATAGCTGTAGCTACATTGGCACCTGATAGATTACATCTTGCGTGATCTTGGGGATATCCCGCACACTAGAGCAATGCCTAGTGCTGACTGTTATACTGACCACCGACTCGTTCATTCCAAGTTGTCCTTCCATTTCAAGCCTCAGCTCAAGCACAGAGGCAACCCCTCAAAGAAATTTGATGTTTCAAAGCTGCAAAATCAATCTTGCCAACAAAAATTTCAAGCAACACTTCAGTCAAAGCTTAAAAACTAATTCCATACTGCAGGCACCTCACCTGATGGACTCTAGAAACACATCAAGTAAGTAGTCTTGGAGACCACCAAGGAGATTGCTGGGCTCAGTACTAAGAGAAACTGAGACTGGTCTGATGAAAATGACAAAGACGTCCAAGCCCTCTCACAAAAAAGAGGACCACTCATCAAGCCCTTCTAGCACAGCCAGCTAGCCGAAAGGAAGGCAGCTTACTGCCAGGCATGTAACAACCTTCAGCAGAAACTGTGATATCCAAAACAAATGGTGGACTATTCTACAAAGCCCTGAAATCTGCCTACAGCCCCACCTTCCTGATCCAAAGTCCACTGAGGAGCTCTGACAGCTGGACCCTATGCATAGAGAAAGACTCTGTCATGGACTGATGGTCTGAGCCCTTTGAAACTCTCTTTAGTGCTGAACGCACAGTATACCAGTCTGCCAAGTCAAGAAACTGCCTGTTAAGGGGGAACTAGATGAGCATCCTACAGTGGAAAAAACCTTGACTGCTATCAACCAGATAAAAAGCAACAAAGCCCCTGGAATTGATGGAATTCCACTTGAAGCCCTAAAATACAGTGGTCCCGCCCTACACTCCAAGTGTCATGAACTCTTTATAGCCTGCTGGGAGCAAGGGAAAATTCCACAAGATCTGCGTGACACTGTAATCATCACCCTTTACAAGAATAAAGGGGACATGTCAGGCTGTTCCAACTACCAAGGGATCACCCTTCTGTCCATCACCAGGAAGATTTGAGCTAGAATCCTCTTCAAGAGGCTGGTGCCTGCCATAGTAGAAGAGGTCTTCCCAGAGAGCCAATATGGTTTCAGAGCAAACAGGGGCATGGTAGATATGGTATTTGTGCTCAGACAGATACAGGAAAAGTGCCGGGAGTAGAACAAGGGGCTGTACATCACCTTCGCTGACCCTACTGAGGCGTTTGATACCATAAACCAAAATGGCCTCTGGAAGATTCTCGAGAAGCCTGGATGCCCAACTAAGTTTCTCACCATGGTCAGTCCATGACAGTCAGTGTGGACAAGTCAAGTACAAAAGCAACCTCTTGTGTCCCTTTCTGACCTCCAGTGGAGTTGAGCAAGGCTGTGCACTCGCCCCTACTTTGTTCACCGTTTTCTTTTCCATGATGCTGCGGCAAGCATTGGACAATCTTGGGGAAGGTGAGAAAAGTGCCTGCATCTGCTTCCAGGCAGGTGGAAACCTTTTCAACCTCAGACAGCTACAGGCTTACACAAAGACCTTGCAACAACTCATCTGTGAACTTCTGTTTGCAGATGATTGTGCCCTGGTGGCCCACACCCAACATGATCTGCAGCACATGGCCACTCTGGACTTACCAACAGTCCGAGGAATACTGAAGTTCTTTATCAGCCAGCTCCAGCTTTATCAGCCATGCTTATGTACCACCAAAGATGACTATTGAAGGAACTAAGCTAAATGCTGTCAAGCAGCTCACCTACCTGAGGAGTGTCATCTTGTATGGCACCATGATTGACAAGAAGGTAGACAACAGGTACTGAAAAGCTAGCAGTGCTTTCAGCAGACTCAGAAACAGGTCTGGAATAGTCACAACCTATGGGATAGACCAAAGCCAAGGTGTACAGAGCTGTTGTTATCTCCACCCTACTGTATGGTGCTGAGTTTTGGGTCTTATATCACCACCATGTACACCTCCTTGAGTGCTTTCATCAGTGCTGCCTCCTCACCATTCTCAAGATCTGCTGGCAGGGATATGTCACCAGTGTGGGGGTGCTACAAAGAGCCAATACTACCAGTATTGAAGCAATTCTCCTGCAGACTCATCTGTGGTGGGGAGGCCATGTAGCCTGGATGGATGACAACTGCCTACCAAAGGCCATGCTGTACAGGGAACTGACGATGGGGAAATGCAAAAGAGAGGCCCCACACAAGCCCTTCGAGGATACTCTGAAGCGGTCATTTTCTGTCTGTGGTACTGACCACAAATTGTGGGAAACAGGCTACAGGTCATGATGCCTGGAAGCTCCAAATCAAAAAGCCAACAACCTTCTTTGAATGTCAGTGCAGAGCCAGCATCAAGGAGAAGAGGAGTAGGAGGAAAAATACACCTTCATCAAGCAGCAGTCAGCCATACATGTGTAACCACTGCAGCAGCATTTGCTTCTCTGCAATTGGATTGATCAGTCACCAGCAGGCCTGCAATTGGTGTGGGCAGTTACCTGCCTAACACCTTTGTCTGTGAAGAACCACCAAGCAGGAGACCCCTCTGAGTTACAGCTCTTTGCAAACTAGATTGTTGTTAATAACTGCTTGAGTTAAGGGTCTGCAACATAAACTATTGGTGGGTTTTGGACATGGGTGACTGGTGCCCCCCCCCCGACATCAGTCAGTGACTGGGGGCAGGGAGTCCCAATCATGCTGACTGCTTGGGGGGGAGGGTCCCCCAGCAACCAATCGCACTCACCAATATGCTTTTGCTGACGGCACTCACGGGGGGGAGGGGGTGGGGGCACTGGTGCTCCTGCCTGCCCCCCTGCCTGGTGGCTAAACAGGGAGCGTGGCCTGACAGGGGGTTCACTGACATTCTCAGGGGGTGCACGTGCACCCCTGTGTACCCCCTACACGTTGCCACTGGTTTTGTAAGCGTCTGTGCTTAGCAGAGTATTCTCTTGCAAAATAAAATGACAGACCCAATTTGGTCTCAATATCTGTATCTAGACAGCCAGATAGATGTCACAGTATATGTAAGAACGCAAGGGTGTTCATGCACATGCTTCGGGAGTGGAGGGACCTTTAAGCTAATTAAAACACCTGGAGCATCTTGTGTATCAGCATCCCCACGCTGAAAAATAGTAACTTTAACCAAAGTTCATTAAACGAAAATGGCAGCGGGTATACTTTAACTAAAGTTCATTGAACAAGCTTTAGTTAAAGTGCCCCCACTGCCATTTTTCAATGTGGGAACGCTGGTACATGAGATGCTGGAGTCTGCTGGAACACAGTAATTACCACACTCCAGCAGACTCAATTGATCGAGTGTGCTCCGATGTGCTATAATTATAGCAGATTGAAGCGGCCTCGCTGCTCATATATAGGTGCCCCTAATGCCTACACTTTAAGCCCATCAGCATGGGAGAGTGCTCCCACATGACCAGATTTAGATCATTGTTCTAGTTAGAGAATGTGGTAGGGTAGCCACTTTCAAAAATCCAAAGAAAGTTAGAGCTAGCCAACAGGAAAGGAGTTCAGTGTGCCCGAACTCTTGCCCCCCTCAAGAGCTTATGTGCCTGCTAGAATCTGTGAAGTTACTCTAATCACTAGTCTGCTGGGCAAAAGGTAGGCCCCACCACTTTTTGCATATGTCATCGACATAAGTTAGCCATGCTTAGAACATACCTAACAGGTTGTGTCCCTCCAAGAATTTAGGCATATCCCCAGTACCAGATTGGATCACATCAGAGCTTAGGTAGGTAAGGCATCTAGGTGATAAAACCAGCTCACTTCTGAGTGTGCACAGAAGCCCAGGTTCTAGGGAATCTTACAGTCCAAAATGGAGGGCAGTTTACTATCATGGAGAAGGGCCAGTTTACATTGCTCTTTAGAACTCAGGTGGCTAAATTCTATTAAAAACCTACTTAGACCTTTCTGACACGAGAATGGTTCTCTCTCAAACACAACAATGGGAAATCCAAGTGCTGGCTAGCGCTGTTCATCATGATCTGCAAAATTAGAGTAGATGAGGATTATTTAAGCCCCATAGAGATGGTAAAGATATTTTGATGGAACTAGTTGATCTGGACCTTTTTCTATAATTTGAGAGTCTTCCCAATGTTATCCTTGAAGAGAATTTGCAAATACTGATTGATTTTCAGTACATCCACTGATATATTTCTGATTCAAGCAGAATAATAGAAAACAAATATTTTGGTTGGGCAGTCAAGTTTGTACACAGCTTTAGTGAATGCATATATTTGCCAGGATCTAAAATTGTTAAGCCACTGTTTCGACATCAGACCAAAACTGGAATGGGAGGCACACAATATGGTCTGAAAGATTATTTGGAAAAAAAAAAAAGCAGATGATGCTTCATGTAATTTTGGCTCACAGAAACTATTGAGCTTCTGTGAAACAATACCTCTGTGTTCCAATTTTTACAAGAACTCTCTGAGGTATTTAATAGATGGATATGCTTTTACCAGGACAGTTAATTTGCCAGGACTACAGCCAGGAAGACTGAATTTTATTATGTGCAATACAATTGTTCCATATTCAAGCAGGGTTGTACCTGGCAAACCTTTGAGGTGAAAGCTTTAATTGTACATTCTTAAAATGCCATGTCTACTTTTAGGAAATTGCTGTAGTATATACAGATTCTCGTATTGTTTTTCTGATGTGTTATCATTTCCGTGGGGGTGTTATTGGATCCCAGCTGGGAGATAAGGATGTGACTCCCTGCAGACATGCCTATGTAAAGTTAAAAATACATAATCCCTATTCTTTATTTTTATGTATATAAAAGTCTTTTGATAAGGATTCCAGCCCTCTGTAGGCTTTAATTCTAGAGCACAGACTAATATCATTTCTATAAGTGAGGTTACTCTATATTTACTGTTTATTTTTAAAATTGAATTATATTGTCTATATTTTGAATGGAATTCTCTCATCATTTGACCTTTAACAAAATCTTTAAGGAAAAAGTATTATGTTGATTGTGGAGGATTACCCTCAAGGGCAGCATACAATTAGTATGGTTTGAAATATTTTAGCCCTAAAAAACTTAAGATTCCTGTTCCCAGGGTTTGGGGCTGTTATTTGGAACAAAGGGTCTACAAACCAACATGATGTACACTAAAGAAAAAAGGAGATGTCTAAGGGTAGCTCTTAAGAAGAAACTTTTCATTCCATAGATTACGCTGGAATGGAGCTGTAATGGTGCAAAAGAACCAAAAAAAGCTAGAACAGTCATTCCTTTGACTGATCCTGGCACTATTGGTATTTATGATTGGTAGTGTTGAAGGCTCTGACTTCCTTCACTAATGATCAGATTCTGGGCTATACCCTTGTCTGCAGTCATCACTCATTTCCTCTACATCTCTGCTTCCCCTGTCTCTTGCTGTGGAGCTTGGGGCTAAGTATAGACAGTTAAAAGGCTTGAGGCTGAATCGATTCTATCTTCTCAGGTTGGTTTAAGCTGCGTAGATGGAACAGATAAACAAGTGAAGAGACATTAACTTTTGATTCCAGAAATGCAGCCATGAGCCTGCAATAGTCCAGGCCAGAAGCCAGGGGGTGCTAGAGCACACCTCTCTATTCTGCTGGAGCAGACAGTTTCAGTCTGGAGGAGATATGGGACAGAAGTTCAATAAACCGACTTAACCCAAATCAGTTAAGTCTGATACTACATCCATCCAGGTTTATCTTAAATCAGCTTCAGCCATTTTGAAAGTGGTTTATGTGCACCGAACTTCTGTTATGTTACAGATTTGAACCAGTTTCCACTTATACCAGTTTATATGCAATTTCTGTCCCTAGCCTGGGAGTTCTCAACCCTTGTATATATCATATACACATAAACCAATAGATCCTCCAAACTCCTGTGCATATCCAAGTGAATCCACAGAGTAGTTGGAGAGGCACTGGCTGGTCCAGACAAACAGTTGCTCCAAAGGCAATAAAAACTATAATAATAACTACAAGCTGAAAGAAATGAAAAGGCAAAACTCAGTAGTGACTGTTTTTTCTGAGGGTGGTACAACAAAAGGGATTGCATCATAACCTTTCAAGCTGTTTTTTGAGGGTTAGGACAGGATATAAGAAAATAGTCTTCCCCAAGAGGTACTTAGAGCAGCAAGAACTGCTGCATAAGTAAAGGAGGAAGAACAGTCCATGCATAGGTCTTCTTGGCGCCATCCTTAATTTGGATTCCAATAACAGAAAGTTAACAACAGACAAACAATGCCTCTTTCTCAGCTCTGAGGGAGAAACAGCTTGAGGCTTGTGTAGAAATTCTGGGAAAAGACAAGTGACAAGTGGATTCTTCCATGTTCCTGAACTTTAGTGCTATCAAAGCGCATTACACACTTTGAACCTTTCATTGTCCACTGTCTGTTTGGACAAAGATTTCTTCAGGGTTTTGTGACCAACAGCATCATGAGTGACCCTAAATACTAAATTAGGTGCCACCTGCTTTCCAGCAACATGCTCCAGCTTTCCAGGCACTGGAGTCAGAGTTTCTGACTGGAGAGAAAGGAAAGCTCTGTGTGTGTGTTTGTATTTAAAAAGCTGACTGTATAATAAATGAACAGAGTGGACTTGCTGCTGTTTCTGGTGCCAAAGACATTTCTATTCACTAATAACAAGATGATTACCATTCCATACTTCACTCACTCCCCTCCTTCTATGTTGTCTAATGTTTTTTATATTGTGCCTTCATTTAGGTTCCATAATGAAAGCAGAGAGCAAAAACCCCACCACAATCCCTGTCTAAGTTGCAGAGGCTGGAGACATGTAAGAATCAACAGGGAGCAATCTTAGCAGCAATACTTTTCCCATGAGCTTTCCAACAATGAGGTTCAGTCCGACTATGGACCGAGTTCTGCTGAGATTCAGGTACAGATAGCCAAACCCTGAATTCTAACAGAGCTTTAGAATCCAGATATCACGGAGTCAGCTCATCTTTTATACATATAATAGAGTTTGGAGTTATCCCTTGCATTTGAATGTTCTTTTGGAAGAAACTACTCAATTTTATAGAGTTTTAAACATGTTTTTAGGATATAAATGTAAATATACTCTTCATAAGAAAACACCATACTCAGAATAAAGCATTGTTTTTGCATGCCTGGCATAAATACACAGTAGTAATGCCTTATAAGTACAGGAAATTTGCACCTCATTCACATGAAGAAAAAGAGGAAACTAATTTCCCTCTGTGAACATATGAACTGCAGCTATACCTCCAGTGATGTTAAAGGCAAACCTCCAATTAATTTCAATAGGAACAGTATTGGGCTTTTGATCTATGGCATTATACAACAGAACTCACCATGAGTTCAGATATTCTGTACTGCTGGAAAACACATTCATACTAAGCTGTACTTTCCTGGATAAACAAAGTGCAAAGAAATCAAATAAAAACAAAGAAAGCAGCATTAAGCTACCCATAAAAACAACCACCTAAGAGGTCCACGTTTCCAATAGCAGCCCAATTCAGTAAACAAGCAAAGGAACTACTTAGTATTTCTTTGGCTGATTAAATATATTAACGTTTATTGTTTTATTTTCCCCTTTTTGTGGTCAACGTTATAGGGTTTTGTTGTTCACAGTTGTGCTTTCATGTTCTTATTGTTCAGATATTGCCTTTTCCTTTACCCCTTATTGAATAGCACCCACAGGAGAGGGGACAGCTTTCTTTTAACTTTCCCTTAGGGTTGAACTTAAAGTAGGGGCATTATGAATGTATGCTGTTGAGTATCTACTATAGCAAGTAATGGTTCTTGGAATGGCCTCTGAAATGGCAATGTGTACTCACCTGAAACTCAGAAATGAAAATGTCCCAGCTCTTTGCTTCATTGTTGGATGGAATCAGATTTACACCGTAGAGATTGCTTGTTCCCACCAACTGACAATGAAATGAATACTCTGCAGGAGCAGAGATGACAGAGACATTAAACCTAGCAACCTTTCCGTTGTCCTGTACAATTTCAACAGTCTCTAAAGTAAACCAGTTTCGAGCAGAGCCTGCAAAGAACTTCTTGGTCATTAGGAATCTAGAGAGGGAAAGAAAAAAGAACTAAGCATAGAATCAAATTGACATAGGAAAGAGTTGTAATAATCAGTGAAATAACCAATGGCAGATGGGATAAATCATCACGAGCTGTTTTACCTATCATTTAGAATTTCCCCCCATAGGAGTATTCAAAACAAAGTGACTTTTAAATCTAATTATGCTACTTATTAAACTTTCATATAATAACCCCTATTTGCCTAATTTGCAACAGGCCAGCAGCATATATATTGTATTTCATTCTGCATTGGTCTGCTCTAATGCAATTTTTCATCAGTAGTGGGATACTGTCTGTAGGTTTATACAGTAAAAGCTCTGTTATCTGGCATCCATGGGGAATGGGGGATGCCAGTTAATCAAATATGCTGCGTCCAGTGCACCAGAGCTTTCACTCCCTGGTGTCAGTGTGCCAGGGGACAGGGTGGGGGGCAGGGAAGTCAGCTTGACTTCAATACCTAAGAACCTACCACAGCAAATTAAAAAAGATTCAGCTTGAACTATCCAAACACTTTGGAACATTGGGAAAAAGGGACAAGTTCTGCCTTTTTGTTTTCAAAAGCTGAGAAGAAGAACTTGGCTCGAGGCAGTAAAACCAGAAGCGGGACTTCCAGTTTCTCTTTTGCCACATCCCTCGGAAGGAAGATTTGTATTGACAGATGCCTGTTAGTGGAGCATTCCAGATAGTGAAGTGCCGGATAACACTGCTTTTGCTGTGCTATTATTCAATAAAAATTTTATGGGATTTTAAAAGCATTTTATATACATATACACATATGTGCACATACACACACACGCACACACACAAATGTATACATACACACACACACACACACATAAGAATACTAACTTGATAACTTTTGGTTTATTTTTGCAAGTGTTCCTTGGTTCAAGTCCTTCAATGGTCATTTTTATAGGCAAACATCTAATTTTATACCTGCAGGTGCATGCCTTTCTCTTATGTGTGTGTGCATGTATGTGTACATTTCCATCATCCCAATATAAGATCTTGTAAAATATTTTTAACATTTAAAAAAATTGAGAAAAAAATGATCAAGCATTATTGCTTCAGTGGGCTCAGATCCTATTACAATTACTTTACTCAGCTTTATTTAGCTATTCCCATATTCTTATATTAAATATATCTTCTGTGTCAACTTAGAAAACTGAAGAGTACATATTTTCTACTTATTATATAATGATCAGTACTTTAATCCTACTTGGTTTACATTTTTTTTAGCTTGGCACTTGCTAAAGTATTTTTTCAGTACTGTACAGCAGTATAAAATCTGAGGGGTCAATCTATAGTAGTTAAGAGTAGCTACACATATGGATATTCAAAGCTGTCTTCCCACCTGTGAGTTGTAAACATTTTAGGATCTAGGATGTTGTTCTGGTGCAGCACATCTGTGTATATATATATATTTTAAAATAAGTAAGTCAATAATGACTAGGGCTGTGCAAAGCGTCAGTAGCTGATTTGATTCGGAGGCTCTGCCCTGCTGCCACTTGCCCAGCCAGGGTAGTGGGGCAGGGTGTGGGTGTGGCTCACTCTGGGTGGAAGGGGGCAAGCAGCAGCAGGGCATAGCCCCAACTCCCAGTGTGGCAGCACCTGCATCCCGCCCCTCTCCTTTCCCGCAAGTGGTGGCAGGGCAGAGCCCTCACCCACAGTTCTGACGCGGACATGGCAGCGCTGGGAGTGGGGGCTATGCTCTGCTGCCGCCTGGAATGAGCCACACCTGCAGCACACCTCCCTCTGCGCTGGCTGGGCAAGCAGCAGCAGGGCATAGCCCCTGCAGCTCCTCCTGCCAGGGCAGAGGCGGACACAACTGGAGGAGATGCAGGAGAAGCCCCCATAGCTGCCCTGCCCAGACCCAACCCCCGCCTGGCCAGCCTCCCAGCACTTAAAAACAAAAAGAAAAAGAAAAAAAAGCCCCATACTCACTGGCTCTGGCAGCAGTGACTGGGGACAGTGGGCACTCTGGGTGCTCATGGCAGAGCCCTCCCATGTAGTATGGGGCAGTGGGGGGCAGCAGGGATCATCCCCCCCTGCCTGGCACCTGCATGGCAGCTGCCCCATGGCATGGGTGTAGAGCAGCTCAGCAGGGCACTGTGTGCTGGCTGAGAGCTGGGATGGCTCCATGTGATAGCCAGAGCCTGGCAGCACTCATCCCTAGTGGCCCCAGCTCCCAGACAGTATGCAGCGCCCTACTGAGCCTCGTTGAGGCTCATGAACATGAACACAGTAAGGCAGTGGCCCTAGATTTTAGGAGGGCAAACTTCAGTGAGCTAAGGAGGATAGTTGGAGAAGCACTGAGGTCCCGGAGGGGAGGGGAGCCAGGTGTCCAAGGAGAGTGGTCGCTCCTTAAGGAGATGATCCTCCAAGCCCAAAGGAAGGTAATCCCAACGAGGATCAAAGGGAGCAGGAGAGCACACAAGCCTCCATGGCTCACCAAAAGCATCCGGGAATGTCTTCTTGCTAAAAAGGTGGCTTACACCCAATGGAAAGAAGGGGTCGTCACCAGGGAGGACTATTCTGCAGTTGCTCGGGGATGTAGGGGGGTAGTTAGGAAGGCCAA